TCAGGGGTTCTAAGAAAGACCATGATCTTATGGCTGCTTAAATTGAAGCTTGCTAGCCTTATTCTTGATTCCTTATGTGAGCAAATTCAAACATGGTCTTAGGGAGCTGAAAACGATGAGAACTTGAGATATGGAAGACCCTGAACGTTTGGTTGGTCTACAAATGCTTCAAGTCCTTGATGAATCACATGTGCAGCATAGTCATGAGGACATAATTAACACACTCACTGCTGGGTTCAAAAGAAATATTATGGATGAGGGCAAATAGTGTAGAAGATCTAAAAATTTCTTTCCCATCAGAACTGTATTTAAGTCCAGAAAAGGGAGTCCTATTGGTTTGTGGGAGTTTAGCAGAGTTTGTTCTACAAGTTACTTGATGCATATATTTTCTGTAGGGAAATTAAAACCCCAAATGTCTAAACCCTTATTTATTCAGTGATACCATAGTTTGCAGGATCATACATATAGAGTTACAAAGGGCCAACCTCCTCATTTTTGAGTTGAAGAAACAGGTCCACAGTGGTTGTGACTTGCCCAAGTCATTCAATCTGAAGATATTCATGGAATACTTACCATATATTGGACACTATGATTGTTGTTGAGGATATGGAGGTAAAAACACAAACAGTGTCAACATCCAAACGATATATGTTGTCTTTGTTCACTGAGCATGAACACTGTCATAACTATTCTTTTGGGGCTAGGCAAAAACACCATGAACATTTGCTCTCATTTGACAGAGGAATGGGAGAGTATTACCATGTATAGCTGAGACAGAGGTCTTGGAAAGCTAACATGAAGATACATATATAGTGTGACCGTTTGGATAGGCGTGGGGTGGAGTTGAGTGAGGAGTGGAGGAAGAGCTTTCAATTTAACTGATTATTTTTAATACGTTAGTTGCCAAAGTCTGTTCCTACATTGTGGAAGGACCGCAAGTACATTCAATACCCTCTAAATTTAGCAACCCTGAGACAAAGCCTTAGAGGTCCCACCTTCCATCTACCTATGAGTATGGTAACAAAATCATCTGATTGTCTTACATGTTAATAACAACAATAAAATAATAGCATCATTACAACAACTGATATTTATGCAGTGATTAAAGATTCACAAAGTTCTCAAAATGTGTTGGCTCTTTGGATATTATGACTTGGGCATGATTTTTGTTTGTTTTTATGACTTCTCCAGAGCACCTCAAATAAAACTAACTATTACCATGTCCTGCTAGCAAGACATTAACAATTAATGTCAGCAAATAAACATTTTCACAGAAGTATAGTGAATAGAATTCAAGGAACAGAATAAAATATCTTAAGAAAGAGAAATTAAAGGATGAATACTGATATTTACTGTCCCCAACTATTGATGCTAAAGGGTGTGTATGAATTGGAAAGTAAAATAAAATACATGTTATAAATAAAACCCAAGATTCAACGTAGAGCCCTCTTTTCTTCTTTCTTATCTCAGTAGCTCCCATGAGTTCAATTTTCATCTGCATGCAGATTACTTCCTGGTGTCTATCAAGCCTTTATCTTTCTCCTGACAGAGAGTTCTCCACCACCAAGTCAGATCATTCAAGAGCTGGATGGGGCCCCAGGAGTCATTTAGTCCATCCTATACCCACAAATCTTCCCAAATATAAAATACCTAAGTGGTCACCTTGCTTCTGCTCTGAAAAACTCTAAGGAAGAGGATCCCATCACCTCCTCTCAAGGCAGCCCACTACACCATAGGACAGCTTCAGCTATTTGGAATGTATCCCTACCATCAAGCTGACAGTGGCTTATTTAAACTTTCACTTACGGCTCCTGGTTTTTTGTTTTTGTTTTTGTTTTTGTTAGTGGTGGTGTCTTTTCCCTCTATGGCTAAAGAAATAAAAAGTTTAGTCTTTCCTTCACGTGATAGCCCTTCAAGCATTTTAACACCGTTAGCATGACCGACCCTCCAGTCTTCTTTTCTATAGATTATACATGCCAAGTTACTTCAACTAATCCATATGTGTCATAATAAAAGCAGCTCAAATTTATGTAGAGCTTACTATATAAAAGGCAGTGTGCTAAGTGATTTATAATTATTATTTCATTTAGTCCTCAGAACAATCTTGAAAGATAAGTGTTATTATTATATACCCTTTATAGATGAGGAAACTGAGGCAGAGAACAGCTAAGTGACTTTCCTAAGGTCACACAGCTAGTAAGTTTCTGAGGCAGGATTTGAACTCACGTCTTCTTGATTCTCAGACTTATGCACTCTACTCACGGTTCCATCTACCTACAAGTTAATGTTTTGAAACTCAAGAGACTGCACCATCATTCTTGATCTTTTCTAGACACTCCGTAGCTTATCACTGTTGTTCTTAAATCCTGGTTCTCCAAAATGAACACAATATCCCAGGTAAGGCCTGACAATCGTGCACCACTGCTTCCTGTCATGTGAAAAATGGTCCAGAAAAACTAGGCTCTCCATTTTTAGGACTCAGCGTTCCATCTCATGACTTTCCACAAGTCATCCCAGGTTCCAGGAAAACTTTTGAATCCTAAACTGCCTTTAATGCTTCTCTTTGGCACCACCCCTTACCCAAAGTCTGTGAAATTGGGACTTATTCCCTTCTCAAATTGCCAAGACTGACTTTTCTATTTTCATGCCATGATCTCAGGTGGAATGTAAAGACTCAAAAACACTGGCTCTCTGTGTATGATCTCATCTTCCTTGGCTATGGTCGGTACTTAATAAATACTGGCTCTATTCAATTGTCCCCACTACTGGAGTGAAGGGTCTAGAAAGGAATGTCATTCTTAAAGCTGCATGGGCTAAAAGAGAGGAATAGATTAGGAACATTAGCCTGGGGCCCCTTGACCATAATTTAATTTTGTTATGGTTTAGTCACTGAATCATGTCTCATGTTAATGACACTGTGGACCACACTGTCCAAGGGGTTTTCTCCCAAAGATACGGGAGTGGTTTGCTTTTTCCTTCTCCAGTGGATCAAGGCAAACAGGTTAAGTGACTCGCCTAGGATCACACAGCTAGTAAGTGTCTGAGGATGGATTTGAACTCAGTTCTTTTTGACTCCAGGCCCAGTGTTCTATCCACTGAACCACTTAGCTGCCTATCAATATACATTCTGATAATTGTGAATCATTATAGTGGAATTCCTTTGTAATTATATGTATGTGTGTGTGTATAATCAGATTATAATCACAATAGTATTACAATTATATATAATATGAAATTTACATACATACATATTTGACTATACATATATATTTGAATATATATATATATATTTTATTTGAGGGGCGAAGGGTGAAACTCTCTTCTCTTATGAGATGGGTTAACAAAGATACCCTCTTGACTGAAGGGAAGGGAGTGGGAGAAGGGAGTGACCAGGGTTGTATGGAGGTATTTCAAAACTCCTTAGGGATCAATCATAAAACCTCCTGAATCTGCTAAGATGTTTTTAGCTGTTCTAACTTTTCCCTGTAGCCTCCATGAAGGAGGATCTAGGGGTATAGAGGGAAGGGAGTAAGTAAGCCTCAGGGAAGCAAAATGCACCTGCAGTTTTCCCAATTCCCTAGAGCTGACAGAATTGTTAGAATTGGGCATACACTTCCAGATAAGGCCTCCATCCCTGTCCTCAGTGCTGCAGAAGGTATTCCCAGGTCCATGGCCTCAAACCAAACCACAGTCTGAGAGTATCAGGCCGAGTGTGAGGCAGCCTCACAACTGTCTACCCAAAAAGCACCTCCAAGGCTTCCTAGGGGCTTGGAGAGCAGTTCCACCTGCAGGGCAAGAAAGGGGCAGCGGAGAGCCTTATACACTTTCCAGTCTTGGCTGGAGAACAGCTTGGGGTTAGGCAGCTTCTCTGTACAGGCCACCAAAATAGGGGTGCTGGGATCCCAAAATCACAACATATGGGTTCTTCCCAAATGAATTTGACCCATGCCTTCTTTCAGTCAAAGATAAGGTTTATGGGAACATTGATGGAGGATGTATAAGATTTAAAGAACCCATCATATTGGTCAGACTCTTAAAGAATCTAAGTATTTGTATCACTAATGCAAGCAGGCCAGATGTTAAGAATCTGAGCCCTTACCTAGACTCTTAAAGAATCTGAGTCTTTAAAACATATATTTATGTGTATGTGTGTATAACTTTCTACAGTTAAAAATGCTTTTTCAAGAAGGGGGCTATACTGTCAAAGAGGTTTCTGACTCAAAGGAGTTGAAGAACCCTTGGATCAGATGATCATTAAGGTCTCTAAAATCAGAGCAGAGATAAGTTAGTCATACATAATTAGCACACATCAATAGGGCCGAGGTCATGAAGAAATTAAACATACTTTCTCTCTCTCTCTCTCTCTCTCTCTCTCTCTCTCTCTCTCTCTCTCTCTCTCTCTCTCTCTCTATATATAATATATATATATATATATATATATATATATATATATGTATGTATATATATATATATTTATATATATATATATATATATGTATGTGTGTATATAAATAATTGAATAAGTGCAAATTCCAAGCTCTTTAACTTTCCTAATTTTTTTCCAATGTCTATGGTAAGTATTGGCTGAAGTAAAAAAAAAAGAAAATCAGTGATTACAGGTCTTAGTGAAACATGTTTTGAATACTGTGTAGAGCATGCCATTTTCTAAGGTTCTTGAGGGCTTTAGGAAGAAAACAACAACAACAACAACAATAACACTATAATATGCCAAGATTTGCTTATAGAGCAAAAATGAATCTATAGCTACTAAAGGTTCTGTTTTCACTTGTTTTTATAAATATCATTCTAGTTCTTTCTACTTAAAATCTTTTGGGAAACCCACATATACTCATTGTCTCCAAACTTCTATAGACATTCAGCCATAAAACAATTTAAATATCCAAGTATCCAATTTTTCCTACTTACCCATTTGGTTTGTTCAGTTCCTAGAGTAATGTCTATTTTTAGCTATGGGGGCAAATGGGGAAGAATATACATACCGGTGTTCTCAGTTCTGGGATGGCTGCTTGGTAGGTAATAGGACGACAGTCTCGAGTATTGGGTACCAGGACACAAGGAAGAAACATTGGCCCCAGATCATCTCCATCAAGGACGTCTATCGTGAGAGTGGTGGTGCTGGTTCTCCGTTCATTAAGATTTTGAGCTCGGTCCTATGAATGAAAAGACAATTCACTGATGTTGGAATATGGCAAACTTCTGTGCCTGCCTTTGCCAAAAGATTGGGTCAAAGTCTGGGGGTAGAAGGAGGCAGGGAACCTTTGGCCTCAAGGCTACATGTGGTCCTCTTGGTCCTCAAGTGTGGCCCTTTGACTGAATCTACACTTCACAGAACAAATCCCCTTAATAAAATGATTTGTTCTGTAAAACTTGGACTCAGTCAAAAGGCTGCACCCAAGGACTTAGAAGGCCTTATGGGGCCTACAGTTTACAGGTTCACCATCTGCAGGTCAAAATAAAAGATTTTACTGTATTTTATACATACTAGTCTACAGGCATAGTCAAAAGAAAGATAGATATCTGCACTTGGAGTTGGACAGACATGGGCTCATATCATTCCTCTTAGGCTGTGTGACTATGAGTAAATAACTTGGCTTCTTTGGTGCTCAAGAAACTCTCTAAGATTACACATTGAAGACAGAGTAAATTTTGATTTATAAGAAGATTTAAAAAATACTCATTACAAAGAATTAATTTTATCCTAACATAATGAGCTAACCTTTTTAGTTGAATATAATGGATTCCCTTTCCTGAGAGTAGGAAGTCCCCATGTATCCTTCTCAACCTTGTGCCTTCCTACTTTCCTAGTCTTAGCATGCTTTAATCTCCTCCACAAAATCTAGGATACAGTGACTCTGGTTTTCTCTCCCTCTTTAGCATAGGATGCTCTATCACCCAACCCAGTGTCTTTTCACTGGCTCTCTCTAATGCTTAGAATGTCCTGCCTTCCCCAATTGTGCCTTCAGGCTTTTTTCAGGTCTTAACTCCAATTCTGCTCTCTGCAAGAAGTCTTTCCTTGCCTGCCTCAATTCTAATGCCTTCCCCTCCTAGATTGTCTCTGGTTTCTTCTGTATGCATCTGATATGTGCATAAAAGTTTACATGTCACCTCCCCCACTAGGCTGTAAGTTCCTGGGGGGAGAGAGAGAGAGAGAGAGAGAGAGAGAGAGAGAGAGAGAGAGAGAGCGCGAGAGCTATTTTTGCTTTTGTTTCTATCCCTAGTACTTAGCACATTTCCTAGAATATAGTAACCACTTAATAAATATTTGTTTGTTTGTTTTTAATACTTTTTGTTGCCTCATCTAAATGTTGTATCCCACAGAGTCTAGGGCAGTGAGTTTCATATGATAGGTGCTTAACTAATTCTTCTGATTAGTTGAGCAGACCGAATCACATTCCCATCTTATCATTCTGTATATTAAAGGCATAGGTTCTGCCAGCTGCAATCCTGCCTGTCAGTCTGAGTAGAAGGTAAAGTCCTTGTTAAACAGATTGTATTATGTCACAAAGCCTAGTTAAGGCAGACCTGAGCTCACTGAAGGCAGTTAAGCAGATGTGATTAGGGGTATAATGGGGACTTCAGTGTCAGGAAGAGAACTGTTAAGTAAACACTTTACAGCTTGCAATGGGAAGCCTAATGTATTGCATGGAAACACCACTGCCACGGTATATATTCCATCAGAATTAATGTCCCAAGCAGGATCCTTGAGTACCAGATGCTCAGAAGACAGAAAAACAGAAAAACCTTTTAGATGAGCCAAGAAATTATTTGCTAGGTAGAAAAGGAGAACCATACAAAAAAAAAAAAGAACAAAACAAAAACAAAAACAAAAAAAAGTACAAAAAAAAGAAAAGAAAAAAGGCAATGAGATAAAGGTTCTTAATTGGTAAAAGAAATAGCTTGCTGCCCTTGGGACACATGCTACAAGGGAGAGAGGGACTTGGCATGGCTATATCAGAAAAAAACATTCAAACCAAACAAAAAAGCCTAATAGGTTGGCAAATGCCCCTTTTATAGAGGTGCCAACATGATATTAAGGAAAGCAGAGAGGATTAATTAAGATTCTTTTTGGATATACAAGCTCATCATTACATGTGGCATCATGTGGCACCTGGGATAGATGACAAAGGAAATGATCATAATTCACTTTCTTTTCTTGTTCTCTCTTTCTCTCTCTCTCTCTCTCTCTCTCTCTCTCTCTCTCTCTCTCTCTCTCTCTCTCTCTCTCTCTCCCTCTCTCTCATTTTCTTGTTTTTTTCTTCTATCACCTACTTTTGACAACATATCCATTCCCTTGACTCCTACCCGCCCAAAAAAAATCAACCCCTTATAGCAGAGCAAAAGTAAAGTAGGAGAACCAGTTCAGCGAAACAGACCATCCTAAATGAAATAGTGACTTTATAAACTTCTCTGATGAGTGGAGGACCATAACTGGGGAACACTGTGTGTGATGTCCAGTCCTTTTACAATGAGCAGAAAGTAGCTATTAAGTTAGGAGCAGGAAGTCACCCCATGCTCTGGCCTATTAATTTTCAGAAAGAGACAATCAAAGGGAGAGGAAAGTCCACTGATGTCTGTAGTCCTGCCTCAATGCCAGGAAAGCTTTCATCCTTCAAAGTTTCCTTACCTTTCTATAAGTAGACTTCATGGATCCCAGGTTAAGAACATCTCTTAGTTTAAGGAGCACAGGAATAGACTGAGAGGACCTTGGTCAAATTCCTATGTGATTATTAAAATATTCCTTAACCACTCCAGACCTGAGGTTCTTTATCTATAAAACAGGAGGATTACACTTCATTATTTCCAAGACCCTACCTAGCTCAAAATCTATGATCTTTTGATGAACCACAGACACTGTTTGTTTGTTTTTTTATAAGCTCAGATGTGATAATGATGGGGTATGGGCCCAAGCTGAGACCTTTGTCCCTTACACCAAAAAGGATTTGGCTCCCATTTGTCTATGGGCTGCAGAAAGCCCTTAAACTTTTCTTACTCTGGTCTTAAAAGGTTCCTTATCGACTCCTTTATTTCCCTTTGAAAGCTCTAATCCTACCTTTTGATCTTATTCAGATGACTTTCCAAATTCTTCCTTCCAGTTCTTCATTCTCTATTCAATATCTTAGACATTCCAATCAGAATTCTAATCTAGACCCTTTTCCCAGCCCTCTCCTGGTCAACCAAAATTACTTTAGTGTTTATAAGATCCACCCTGGCCCCCATTTAAACTCTGAGACTCTCTCATGCCCAAAAGGCTGAGACTTTCTCATTCTCGCTCATCCCTACAGATATCACCAGGCCTACATGGTTTATCTCCAATAAACTTTTTTCTCTGTCTGAAAGAAGACTTGGGTTGAATTCATTCAGCCCGGACCTGCGTGTTGTGATCTCGGGTCCCAGCACCCCAAACCTCTAGACCTCATCAATAATGCTGCCAATTCATTGACAACACAGGACTTGATTCTAGGAGACATGTGATCATCACAATGCTTTCTTCTTCTGACTGAAGCTCTGACCTTTGGTGGAAAGAATGTAACTCTGGAGAGGGAAGCAGCAAGGTCTTTGTCATGGCAGGCTTTTATCTGCATTTGGACATTCTTTGATCAAAGTCACCTTGAGCAAGTCACTTAACCTTGTTCAGCCTCAGTTTGTCTCATCTATCAAATGAGTTAACATGTGTAAAACACTGTTCAATCCTCAAAGAGCTACATAAATGTGAGCTATTATTATGTATAAAATAGGGATACTGATAGCACCCACCACAAAGAGTTGATGTGAGGGTTAAATAATATATGTAAAGTGTTCTGTAAAACTCAAAGATCAGTATGAAAGGCAGCTGCTATTTATTACCATTATTACTATAAAGCATAGTGTTAAAGAAAACGAAGACTAAAATTAAGTTCAAGAATATTACTTTAACATTATACTAGGTATGAAAAGGTGAGAGATTCTTCCTGGAGTCCTAGCTGAATGATAACAGGCTTTATGGAGAGAATTTGATGCTGCTAATGAGGATTGCCTGGTCTCACCCTCACCACAACCTCCCCTTCCCTTTTCTTCCTTCCTTCTTTCCTTTTTTTGACTCCTTCCTTCCTCCCTTGCTTGCTTCCTTCCTTTCTCCCTCAGTCCTTTCTCTTCCCTTTATATTTTCTTTCTCATATATTTTCAATGACTCTGGAACTTCATTTTATTACAAATGGAATGTGGAACATTCCTAACATTTGGATATTCCAGCCTCTGGCTTTCCAAAGTGTGCCAAAGCATCAAACAGACTCCCCCAGAGAGACAAATTAAATGCTATTTAATTACATTATCAGGTATTTGCAGCAGAAAAAGAAGGAGGGAGGAGTAATCACAATAGAATTAGGATCACCCCCATGGTTCTGCTCTAACAAAGCTACCTCGAGAAGTGGAGGGTTTTATCTCCCTTCTGCTAACCCAAGATAGGTGGACAGTCAGTCACCTACTACTTAAAAAAAAAAAAAATCCTAGAAACTCAGTTCTGTCAGCTTGCTTAATTTTCAGCATGTTTTTGGTGTTTCAAGTTACCCAAGGTCAAACACCTCAGGACTTTTTACTTCATTTATTTTTTGCTATTTTCTGCTTTTCCATCTCTACTTAATTTTCATGAATTGAGTACAGCAAGTGATGAATCATACTGCTCCACTGTACTTTCCTGGATTTACAATTGTATTCCTTTGGAGCATTAATTGCTAAGACATGTATTCTAAGTTTTAAGGATAGCAGCTTTTAGGTATGTTTGTGTTTCTGTATTTTTTCATTAGATTATTTTCCTATGAGGCAAAGAGTTGTTTATATCTATATCTACACACACACACACAGAGAGTACTTTCTATAATTATTAACCTTATCTATAGGCACAAATATGTTGCTGGTGAATGATGGAAAGATATCTGTCTACCATAGCTGTATATTGTGTATATTAATTTATCTGTTTATTCAAAGGGACATTCTAGGTACTCTGTGGCTACTGAGACTACATGGGTGTCAGTTGGCTTCAATATGAGTTCCCCATTCCATTCCAGCACCACAAAGCTTCTTCCTGCCCCATGGAAACTCCATCCCCAGGCTGAACATTTATAGAGAATTAAAATCTACTTGTCCTCAATGATTTACGTACTCCCAACACACCATT